GTGATGGCACATTTGGGGTCGATTGTGGGGGTGATGGCACATTTGGGGTCGATTGTGGGGGTGATGGCACTTTCGGGGTTGATTGTGGGGGTGTTGGGGGACCTGGGGTCGGTTGTGGGGTGATGGCGCATTTGGGGTCGGTTATGCGGGTTTGGGGTTTGACATCTTGGCAGTTACAAAACCGGTCAGGATGATGGGGTGTTTAGGATCAACTGTGGGGGTGAAGATGGGATGAGGCTGGTTTGGGCTGATGGGAAGTTGAGAATCAGTGCTTGGGGTCACTTGGTCATGGGGTCACAGGTGTGAACACCCCAACTCTTGCCCTGCAGAACAACCAGCTCCAGGAACTCCCCTACAATGAGCTGTCCCGCCTCAGTGGCCTGCGAACCCTCAACCTCCACAACAACCTCATCTCCTCAGAAGGTGAGGGGCAGAGGGAGGCAGCCTCTCTGGGGCTGAAGGACTGACCGAGGTCTCAGCTGCCATCCCCTTCCCCCGCCCCGTCTGCGGGCAGCTCTGTCGCAGTTCCCAGAACTGCCCTTTGCTGAGCAGGATGGAAACTCAGGGGCTGGGGTGGGGGTTGGGGGCTGTGGCTTTTGAGTAGGGATGGGGAGGAGGGGATCTGAGGGCCTGGGGAGCCTCTGCCAGTTCCCAGCCCAGAACCCTGAGGCAGCTGGGAGCCCAGACTCCCCCTCCACCCAAGACCAGGCCTTCACTGCCCCCCACTCTCCCAGGCCTTCCTGACGAGGCCTTCGAGTCCCTCACCCAGCTGCAGCACATCTACGTGGCTCACAACAAGGTGAGCCCCCAGCCCCACCCGCAGGCTGAGCCCAGAGAGGGTGCAGCTTCGGTCACACAGCCCAGGGTGTGGAGGGGACAGTTCTGCTGGGGAAGGGGTGGGGCCAGGGCGCACCAGGACCAGTGCGGCTGTGGGCTGTGTCCCCACAGCTCTCAGTGGCCCCTCAGTTTCTGCCCCGGTCCCTCCGCGTCGCGGATCTGGCTGCCAACCAAGTGATGGAGATCTTCCCCCTCACCTTTGGGGAGAAGCCGGCACTCAGGTAGGCCCTGGCCCAGCCCAGGCCCCCAGGCCTCAGATACGTCTGGGTCACGCCTGGTTCTAGGAGCAATGAGGGAGTTAAGACCTTGCCCTTGGCCGGGCGCAGTGGCTCACTCCTGTAATCCCAGCACTTTGGGAGGCCAAGATGGGAGGATCATCTGAGATCAGGGGTTCGAGACCAGCCTGGCCAAGTCTCTACATAAAATACAAAAATTAGCTGGGTGTGGTGGCACATGCCTGTAATCCCAGCCGCTCAGGAGGCTGAGGTAGGACACTTGCTTGAACCTAGGAGGTGGAGGGTGCAGTGAGAGGAGATCGTGCCGCTGCACTCAAGCCTGGGTGACAGAGTGAGACTCTGTCTCAAAATTTAAAAAAAAAAAAAATGCCTTGCCCTGGAGGGCTTAACTGGGGGCAGATCCTTTGCTTGGGGAGTGAGAGGAGGGCACAGTTATACCCTGGGAGGAGAGTGAGGCGGGAGACAGGGCCCTGTATGCTGTGTCAGAACTCCAGACTGAGGTGGAGACAGTATGTGCAGGGACACACACACACACACTCTTACACAGACTCACATACACACCTGCACACAACCACACGAACACATGCTTATGCACACACATGCAATCACGTGCACACACAAGCACACAGACTGACATACACACCTGCACACACTTCCAATCACATGCATACAGGCACACACTCATGCATGCACATGCAATAACATCCTCACACAAGCACACAGACTCACATACACACCTGCACACACTTCCAATCACATGCACACAGGCACACACTCATGCACATATGTACACACATGCACCCACGCACTCTTGCATATGCATACATACACACAGTTGCACACTCACACACACACACACACACACACTTATGCACAGGCACATAGCACACACTTGCGTATACATACACACATGCACACCCACACACTCTTACAATCACACGTGCACACACACTCCACATATGCACACACTCGTTACACTTACACATGCACACTGCTCACACACATGTACACACATCTATTCATACAACACATACACACACTCACCTGCACACCTACACACAGTCACATGCACACATGCACAATTACTCTCACACAGACGCTACACATGCACACACACACACACACTCTCTGAAGGCGACTCTGAGCAGAGTATGGTGTGGGAGTAGGGTGGTGGGAGGCGAGGGGCAGGCTGGTGGCCGGAGCCTGGCTCTCCTCAGGTCCGTGTACCTCCACAACAACCAGCTGAGCAACGCTGGCCTGCCCCCTGACGCCTTCCGCGGCTCCGAGGCCGTCACCACCCTCAGCCTCTCGAACAACCGGTTCAGTTACCTGCCGCCCAGCCTGCCACCCTCACTTGAGCGGCTCCACCTGCAGGTAGCCCTGCTGTAGGTCCCACCCTGGGGCCAGACTCCCTTCATCTCTTTCCAGGGGGACCCCTCCAGTTCCTAGCTTTCCATCCTTCCCAATTGCCCCTCAGAACTCCAGTGGTCGGAGTTATCTTTCTTTGAATCACTTTATTGGAAATCACTTTGAGCTCAAGGCAAGCTCCCCATCACTCCCTTACTCAAGAGCCTTCTGTGGCTTCCCGCTGCCCTCATCCCAGACTCAGGTCTCATTCTGTTCTCCCTTCTCCAGAACAATCTCATCTCCAAGGTGCCCCGAGGAGCCCTGAGCCGCCAGACTCAACTCCGCGAGCTCTACCTCCAGCACAACCAGCTGACTGACAGCGGCCTGGATGCCACCACCTTCAGGTACAGGATGATAGGGGCAGAAGGGGCTGAGAATTTATAGTCGGGGGTCCCAACCTTCAGTCCCCCTTCCCTGGATGGCTCCTAAGCCACGGCCTCATTTACTGAGTGTCTGCTGCTCACTGGGCTCGGCAGAGCACTGGGTGGGTGTCCCTGTTCCCCACAGCCCTGCACTGACATCGTAAGTCTCACATGCATTTCCGTCTCGCCTCTACCCTGGTCACCCCCGTAGCTAACTCTCAGGCTGGAATCTGCCCTGAGCACCCCAAGTTTACCTCCCACCCAGCTCTCTCAACGCATCACTCCCAAGTTGAAATCTCCAGCTTAAATCTGTCTCAGGACCACTCCCCAACCTCCCCGCCAAAATCTGTCAGGCACCCCACTCCAAGTGCCCCACCTGACACCGACCCTCTCTCCTACCAGCAAGCTGCATAGCCTTGAATACCTGGATCTCTCTCATAACCAGCTGACCACCGTGCCCGCCGGCCTGCCCCGGACCCTGGCTATCCTGCACCTGGGCCGCAACCACATCCGACAGGTGGAGGCAGCTCGGCTGCACGGGGCGCGCGGTCTGCGCTATTTGTTGCTGCAGCACAACCAGCTGGGGAGCTCAGGGCTGCCCGCCGGGGCTCTGCGGCCGCTGCAGGGCCTGCACACGCTGCACCTCTATGGCAATGGGCTGGACCGCGTGCCTCTGGCCCTGCCCCGCCGCCTGCGTGCCCTGGTGCTGCCCCACAACCACGTGGCCACGCTGGGTGCCCGCGACCTGGCCGCCACACCGGGCCTGATGGAGCTTAACCTGGCCTATAACCGCCTGACCAGCGCCCGCGTGCACCACCGGGCCTTCCGCCGGCTGCGCACCCTGCGCAGCCTGGACCTGGCGGGGAATCAGCTAACCCGGCTGCCCATGGGCCTGCCCACTGGCCTGCACACCCTGCGGCTGCAACGCAACCAGCTGCGGATGCTCGAGCCCGAACCTCTGACCGGCCTGGACCAACTGCAGGAGCTCAGCCTGGCGCACAACCGGCTCCGGGTCGGTGACATCGGGCCAGGCACCTGGCATGAGCTCCAAGCCCTCCAGGTCAGGCACAGGCTGGTTAGCCACACTATCCCCAGGGCCTCTCCATCCCCCTGCCTGCACTGCCACATCCCAAACATTCCAGTTAGCTGGTCAAGCAATCAGAACAAGAAAATGTTAAGAGTGGGTTAGAAGGTGATGAGGAGGCTGGGTGAGGTGGCTCATGCCTGTAATCCCAGTGCTTTGGGAAGCCAAGGCAGGAGAATTGCTTTAGGCTATGGGTTTGAGACCAGCCTGGCAACATAGCAAGACCCTATCTCTACCAAAAAAACGTAGCCAAGCGTGGTGTTGCATGCCTGTAGTCCCAGCTATTCAGGAGACTGAGGCGGGAGGATCGCTTGAGCCCAGAAGTTTGAGGCAGCAGTGAGCCATGATCGGGCCACTGCCCTTCAGACTGGGCAACACAGCAAGACCCTGTCTCTTGAAAAAAAAAAGTGATGAGAGAGGTATGGTGCAATTGACTGAATCATTTAATCAAGTGGGGACCCGTCTGTCTGTGCCTTCCCGGGAAGGGCCTTAGTTTACCACTGCAGAGGGGAGGAATTTGGCAGTCATGTGGGGTGGGGGCAGAAGGGACAGGCTGGTATGAAGGAGGCAGGAGACTTTCAAGGAGAGAGGTTGGGGGCTGGCTGAGCTGAGTGGCCCAGGCCTGCGGCTGCCACGACACCATCTATAACCCCCTGCCCAGATGCTGGACCTCAGCCACAACGAGCTGTCCTTTGTGCCCCCGGACCTGCCTGAGGCCCTGGAGGAGCTGCACCTTGAGGGCAATCGCATCGGCCACGTGGGCCCCGAGGCCTTCCTCAGCACGCCCCGCCTGCGTGCCCTCTTCCTCAGGTGCCCCGAGGGTGGCTGGAGGGGTGGAGGTGGGCAGGGGAGGGCCTGGGAGGGTCACGACCGCCTCTCTGTGCAGGGCCAACAGGCTTCACATGACGAGCATCGCGGCCGAGGCCTTCCTGGGGCTCCCAAACCTGCGCATGGTGGACACAGCAGGGAATCCGGAGCAGGTCCTGATCCAGCTGCCTCCCACCACCCCACGTGGGCCACGGGCAGGGGGCCCCTGATCCTGGAGAGGTCCAGCAGAGCAGCCCAGACTCCTGGGGCTCCGCTGGGCCGTGGACTGAAGAGACAACACCCACTGTGGGCCCTCTGTCTGGCTCTCCTGGGCCTCCAGGGCTGGGCCTGCTCTGCCTGGCACTGGCCAAGGCACCGAGGCACGCAGCTGGCATACTCCAGGCTCACAGACCACGCTGGCCTGGCAGGACACGCCCTACCCCAAACTCCCAACACGGACGGAGGCATCAACAATAAAGCCAAACCCTTCCAGCGCTCAGCACGGACCAGGCACCCTTTGGGGGCTCTGTCCACAGACTCCTCCCCACGACCAGTCCAGCTGGGGAAACTGAGGCTCTGCGATGCTAAGTGGGTCAGGACTGAATTTTGAGGTCCTAAGACACACACTGGGATCACCAGACAGCACCCTGTGCGACCCAGCCACGTGTGATTGCAGGGACGCCCAAGGCCACCCACTGAAAAAACACTGGGTGACAGATACAGGGCCCCTCACGTGTGTCCCCCACACAGCAAGCATGGGAATGAAATGCACCCTTCAAGCTGGATGTGTGGTGGTGCCCTTCTGTAATCCATGACTCAGGAGGCCGAGGCAGGAGGATTACGTGAGCCCAGGAGTCGGAGGCTTCAATGAGCTGATTGTGCCACTGCACTCCAGCCTGGGAGACAGAGGGAAACCTGGTCTCTAAAAAAAAAAAAAAAAAGCGCCTTTCACAAGCACACTGCCCCTCCCCAAACCTGCTCCCCTAACAGGCACCTCCCCATCTACCTCCAGGGGAACTGGGGGGTGGGTGGGGAGACCTAGCCTGGCCACCAAGGGTCCGAGCAACAAACAGACAGGACAGAGTTGGGCTGAGTGTGGCCCTGGCTATTTTATTCCATGTGCTGGCCCTAGGGACCCAGCTGGGCCAGGTCGACGCCCCTGGGGAGACAGTGGGGCTCGGCCAGCCTCAGCGGCTTCTTTGGGGTGCAGGAGGGCTTTGGGGTTAAGGCCGGGGAGGGACAGGAAGTAAAGTGCTTGCAGGGGCTCTCGGGGCTTGGTCCCAGCCACCCTCCCTGCTCCGGGGCGGGCCAGAGGCCGGACTCCCCTGGGCTGTGCAAACAGGACTCTCTGGGCCCACCCAGGCCTGGGTGAGGGGAATACACTGGCTGGCAGGGATCGTTCCCCACACCCACAGCCACAGAGGCTCTGGCTGGGCTGGAGGCCCGGACGAGGGGCAAGTCCAGAACCAATTGTCCGCTGATTGTCTGCTTGTCTGGTCCGTGGCTGTGTCAGCTCTTCCCGGTGTCGGGGCCTGCTGCCCACTTTCTGGGGGCTGCCTGCCCCACGGGCTCCTCACCTGCGGAGCCGCTGCAGCTGGGAGAGAGGCCCCTGGGGTCACCGGGGTGGGCTATGACCACAGTGATCCCCCAACCACCCCGTCTCCTGAGCTGCTCACCTCACTCTCTACCAGATTCCGCCTGTAGAGTGCCTCCTTTGCAGCCTCCTGTGGGGGATGGGCATTCAGCAGGTAGTCCCTGCAGGTCCCGCCCTGCCCGCTGCCCAGCGTCCACCCAGCCCGCGCCCAGCTCACCCTGCTGCCGTCATTGCCCAGGCGCCGGGCAGCCTCCGTGTAGAACTGCAGCTGCCGCTCTAGCTGGGCTGCGTATTCTGAGAATGGATGGTGGGGGGATGGGGGCTTAGGGTGGGGCCTCGCTGCCCCCAACCCTCCTGTACTGTGCCCATCCCCAAGCCCGTCCCCCACGAGATGCCCATCTCCAAACCCCTACCCCGTCGGATGCCCACGCCCCCCTGCTCCAGCTGTGCTCTCTGCCACTGGCTGCGTTGCATGATGTCCTGGTACTGCTGGGCCACTTCTGGGGGCACCGGCCGCCGCGCCTGCCTGAGGGCCAGGATCTGGAGGATACAGAGGGGCCTGTGAAGATCCCGCCAGGACTCCCCAGTCCTGCCCCATGGAGCCCGGCAGGATGGATACCCACCTTCCGCTCCAGACGCTCTTGGTCAAAGGCCAGCACACTGAGGCTATGCAGGGGCCGGGCTGATCTAAGGGGTAGAGGAAGGATAAGGGACTGCAGAGATTCCCCTAACCCAACCCTGTTAATTCGAAAGACACATTGGGCCAGGTACGGTGGCTCACGCCTGTAATCCCAGCACTTTGGGAGGCAGAGGCGAGCGGATCACGAGGTCAGGAGTTCGAGACCAGCCTGGCCAATATGGTGAAACTCAGTCTCTACTAAAAATAGAAAAAAAACTAGCCGGGCATGGTGGCATGTGCCTGTAGTCCCAGCTACTTGGGAGGCTGAGGCAGAAGAATTGCTTGAACCTGGGAGGTGGAGGTTGCAGTGAGCTGAGGTCGCACCACTGCACTCCAGCCTGGGCGACAGAGCAAGGTCCTGTCTCAAAAAAAAAAAGAAAAAAAGGCCGGGCGCAGTGGCTCATGCCTGTAATCCCAGTACTTTGGGAGGCCAAGGCAGGCAGATCACCTGAGATCGGGAGTTCGAGACCAGCCTGACCAACATGGAGAAACTCCCGTCTCTACTAAAAATAGAAAAATTAGCTGGGTGTGGTGGCGCATGCCTGTAATCCCATCTACTCAGGAGGCTGAGGCAGAAGAATCGCTTGAACCCAGGAGGCGGAAATTGCTGTGAGTCAAGATCGCGCCATTGCACTCCAGCCTGGGCGCCAGAGCTAGACTCCGTCTCAAAAAAAAAAAAAGATACTTTGGGCACTGGGGGTATGGTGGGAGATAGGTGATACCCACCCGGTGTTGCTGATCCCAAAACCTAGTGGGGACGATGGCTGCACACCCAGGAAACTATGATGCCTAGTGGTCAGGGAGGGCTTCCTGGAGGAGGTAACAGCCAAGCTGGGATCCAAAGAAGGAATCAGAGGTGGGCAGAGGAACAAGGGTAGGGGTGTTCAGGGCATTGGAACCCACGGAAGTCCAGAGGCCAGTGAAAACTATTCATGGCCATGAACCACAGGAGGGAGTGGGGAGAGAGAAGCCTGGATATATTGACAACGGTCAGATCACAAAAGGTTTTAAAGACCAAACAAAGGAGTTTAATCTGGATCTTCTGGGAAAAGGGGTGCCAGGAAAGGTTTTGCAGCAGGAGAGGGACATGGTCCAATTTGTGCCTGGTGGGAAACTGTCCAGGTGGGGCTGAGAGGGGAATTGGGTGTTTTCTCTAGCATGCCCTGGCCCAGATACCTACCTGTTACCTGACTCCCTTGCAGGGGCAGGCACAGGAGGTGCCTTCCCTTTGGGCCCAGCAACCTGCTTCAGAGGAGAGAACCAGTCCTGTGAGTCCTGGGCCCCTGAACCAAGCTTTCCTCCCTGGGATTGCTGATGGGTAGGGGTGGGGGGTCTCACTGTGGGCACAGCTGCTGGCACAGGGTCAATGACCAGCCACCTCTCCGTCGTTGTCTCCAACTGCTGGGCTGTCAGTGGCTCCCGAATCCGAACCATCACCTCCAGTCGCCCCCCTGTGGGCCGGCGACCATCCAGGACCTAGATAGGGGTAAGGAGAAACTGTTGGTGGGAAGCAGGAAGTGACTAAAGGCCCAGGGCCAGGACCAGGGAGAACAAGAGTGGCTTCTAAAATATAAGCCCATGGTATGGCTGAGATACCAGTTGATCATAATGGAGTGGTGGAGTGGGGTGCTGCAAGTATTTAGGGCTGGGCAGTAGGGAGGTCTGGGGCTCTGAGGGGAGGGGTTGGGTCAACAGATAGGCTCATAGGGGGCTCAAAGCAGGAACTGTCTTAATAATGTTAATGAGTAGCATGGCCATACCGGAGCATGCAAATGAATGTCCACCTCTCACCTCAAGGATCTCCCGGACCTCACATGCTGTCTCCAGTGCATCCAGCTTCAGCTGGGCTGTCCCCAGCACCCGGTCAGTCTTGAAGAGCCCCCTGTGTGTACGTGTGTATAGTGGGGACAGGATGGTTGGTTCAGAGCAGCTCCCCTCCCCTGGAGCCCACCCAGTGGCCATGGCTCCCTCTAGCTCACCCTTTGTGAACCACTTCGAACTTGATGCCCTTGGTCTGGATGGCCCTTCGGAAGCCACGGTGGCTGCGGTTGATGCAGAGTTTGAACTGCTCCTTGAACTCTGCAGGGGGAAGGAGGGAGAGGAAGTTGGGTGGGGTCAGGCCATGGTCTTACATCCCTTCTGCTGCAAGGGAGTAGGGGTGGGGTGCTTCCAGCTGAGGCTCACCAGGGGAATCTGTGTTCTTGATCACACTGGTCTTGTCTTTCTGAGCTTCTTCCTATGACCAGAGAGGAGGCAGGAAATCTCGGGGGCCTGGGACCTGGCTTTGGCCCACTGAGTCTGCAGCCCTCCCCTCCTCAGCTCCCCACATACCACGTTGGGATAGGGGAAGTCAAACCGAACAAAGACATCCAGATCGCCAGGGGACAGTCCTGTGGGCAAACAAGGGTCAGAGCTGGGCAGAGAGGGGGTCCCCATGACCCTGACCCCTGCCTACAGCCCCCTCACCTGCGGGTGTGGGCAAGTTGATGCCCTTCACGATGAAGAGGAGCATGTCGTTGCTGCTGAGGTCAGGGAAGATCCTTCCGGGTGGGCAGGTGGGCAGGCGGGTGGGCAGGGAAACAGAGGTACCTCAGTCCCACTGCCCACCTGCCTTTTCTTCCTCCAGTGGGGGCTGGGAACAAACCCGACCCTGGCCTTTGGGGGCATCTCAGCTCCTGAGCTAATTTTAGAATCAGACAGACTAGAGTTCTCTGTTCAGGTCGGCAATGGATCACTTTTGAGTCTTTTCTTCAGTCCGCGTATATTTATTTGGTACCTACTGTGTGCTAGGTACCCTAGCTGCTGGGTGACATTCCCTTCACTTAATAGTTCTTGAGTCCTACTAAGCATCAACCAGTGCCCTAGCTGCTAGGAGACCTTCCCTTCATTTCCCAATATTTCTTGAGCACCTACTATGTGCCAGCCGGTAGCCTAGCTGCTGGGGATCTAGAATTAAACAAGAAATACCCATACCCTGTGCTCAATCTAGCTGAGTGGACAGATGAGCACAAGTACATAAATAGAGAAACAATAGAAAACTCAGCAGAGAGGGGAGAGTGGAGTGTGCTCAGAAGAGACTGCTTGGATAGACAGGGAGGGCCTCTCAGAGGGAAGGTGACATCACAGATGACTCTAGATGTCAACAGGGAGCTGCCACATGGAGACCTGGGGAAGAGGGTGAAGGCAGAAGAAATAGCTGATGCAGAGGCTTGGGGTAGGAA